TAGTTTTAATTTTAAAGCAGCGTTCGCTTCCATAGCAAATTCAATTAAGGTAAATATCTAACAAATAGTGAGATTATTATTTATAGTTCATTGACTGTTGCTTCTGTGTTCATTGACTGTTGTTGTTTCATTAGTCTGTTTGAAATTCGCTTTTATTGATTCCAAAATAGAAAACAAAACAAACTTTTCAAGATCTTAGATTGAATTACCACCTGATGAATGTAATTTAACACGAGTCTTATAAAGCAAATGTCTTTCGCAAACCAAAATTGTATAGTAACATGATTAGGGTAATCCCGACGCTTTGTAATTAAAGCTTAATCGAATACCCCGGAGCCTATTGGGAGGAAAAAGCGAATTACAATGCTAATGGGCCCTTTGCTTGCGCCTTAACTTCATTTCCTTTCTCGATGATAATTCTAAATGATTCTTTAAAAGTTTAAGTTAGGGCTCTTACACATAAGTAGCCGTGTTGTGCTTCTACGTGGCATGCACGAGCAACGCAAAATTTAACGACTCATCACAATATACCATAATACATGATGATACATTTCAAATAAAAAATTTCAACAATTAGCGGTGTTTTTCAATGAAATGAGAATTTTCAAAATCAACTCCAGATTTAAGGTTCGAGTCCCGACTCAGGGTATCTAGGACTGGTGGATTTTTAAGCATTTTTCATTAAAATATATTTATCAATATAGAATTGTGAATGAAAATTGATCAAATGTAAATAATAAAAACGGTAGTATTATTTAATTCAAAATATTTAAACGGGATAAGTCGCCGTGTCATGCTTCTACTCGTATTGTGGAAATTACGACGAAAAAATTCATGACTCATCACAAAATTTTCTTAATATCCTTTTAATAAATTTTGATTTAACCCATATTAGTATCGAGACTTAAGAAGAGTGCGAACGTTGTATAAATAGAAAACGACAAAAGAAATTTCTAAAATGGCGTCGCGTCCTGTGTCTGAAGAGGTACTAAGGGCTGAGTTTGGCACTCCTCTATTTTTTATTTTCATTAATAACCATTACACCTTACTCAACACTTTACCTATTAAACTCTATGGGGCTCCTCAGTTAGAGTGTAGTGTCATCTGTCTTGTCAAACATTAAATATCAAGTGTGCTATAGGCTTCTTTATTAAGATGTCATATGTATTATGGTACGTTACAACAATGTATTTTACATTTCCACGATGCGATGTCGCGTCGTGAATGCATGACGCGTTACGTCGTGTTTATGTGTAGGAGCCCTTAGCCAGCCTGCGACTAATGAGTCGGTCAGGCCGAATGATGGCTCTCGAATTTGACACGATTACGGAGTGAACGATTTGTCGGTAAACCCATTTGTTGACAAATTAGGATCCGTCGTATTCGACGAAAATATATTCGATTAACGGAAAAAAATATTTTGTTCAAACTTAATAAAAAAATATTTTGTTTTGAATAATTACGTCATGTAACTTGGATCATAATAAGTTGAATTGTAAAGTACTTCTATTGTACTTAGTACAACATAAGCAGTTCAGAATTAAAATTGCGGTACATATTATGCATAGTGGGGATTAGGTATTTATAGCATAATAAAAAAGATAGTTAATAGTGGCAGTGTTATTGTTTACGTGTTGTTGTTATTATTAGTCTGTTCAATGTATAGAGTTGATGTTTGAATAGGAACAGATTGTGCGCTATTCTATGAAACTACAACCACCTTTTATTGTTAGCTATTATTGAACTCTTAAAAACTGGATGAACGGCTATAGGTGGAAAGACTATTTGAAACTTATGTACCACAGATGATATGAACTTATTTGCGACTAGTATGCGTGACATGGAATATTTGCTGCATAAAATGGAAACTACAAGCCTTCACTTTAAATTAAAGATAAATCATTCAATTACAACTCACCAGAGGTCACACAAATAGAAAATTGAGAGGTTTTCTAATTCTACATTAATCCCGTTGCTTTGATATCCAACAAATACCAATTTGTAGATGAAATAAAGAGGGTGCATGACAATCTATAGTTTTGCAATGTACAAGATGAAAATGAAACAAGAACATTACAAAAGCTACTAAGAACAAGCTAGTTTACTTTGTAATATTTTCCATATTCCTGTACGCATTGGAAAGGAAGACTGCATGTAATAGAGAAAAAGAAAACAAACACTCTAGAGATGCGCCAATAAGGAAGAAAGATCTTTGATTGTCATGGAGAGAGTTTCGTACAAATGCATCTACATTTAACGAACTCGAGACCAGACGACGCCTGTCTTCTATTGCATAAGCACGCATTCTAGCTTTCTTTGGCCATGTATCTTGATGCAGCAATCACTCCGTAAAGCATCTGGTAGTACAAGGAAGAGTTGAAGGTACCATAGCGCGCGCTAGATCCCCGGTGAGACAGATAGACCAAATAAAGCCGGTATCTAACTGTCCTGTACATGAATTTACCAGAAAGGCTGCAGTTCGACAAAAATAGCGGCGTATAACAGAACTTTCACATTCAAACTATTTATGATTGACAACCTCGACCGCTTTATCAAGAATGAAACGGCTCAGAGGAATTTAAAATGTCTAGAAATGAGATCCATCTTATCATAATACTAATAGATAGTCTTGCAGCTTTATGAGATTTAGATAAGATAAAGTGTTCAAATTTGATCACGTGTGACACATTTATTCTCATTATAAAATATCATGGGTCAGTGACTTCGACGATATGCTACCGACTTTATGGCAATTAAAATATGAACCAGTCTAACGGAATATAGATTTATTTTAATTTAACTATTTATTTTTAAAGTAAATATATAACTTAATATTCTGTGATTATTGTAAACGTCTACTTGTTATCGTTGTCAATATCGAGTCGAAACGAACAAATTTGTTGTATTGGAGCCTCTATAAATATTTAATTATTTGATTTGCTGTTATAGCGGCAATAAAAATACATCATATGTGAAAATTTCAAGTGTCTTACTGTCACGGTTCAAGAGATACACTGTTGACAGCGATGTTCTGTTTTAACCTTTGAATGTGTGACTTGAGAAGTGTGGGCTTGCTAGTCGCAACTATACGGCCTGGCTATATTTACGGATATTGGTTATTTAGAGCAAGGTATTTCTCTATGGCACTTATGTTTTTCTTACTTTGATGATTACTCATATAAAATGTCAATACTCTTTTAATATGTATTTTATTTTATATTATACATTCACCAGCATATCACGTGTGTACATCATACAGATATTTGTTTAAAAAAAAATCAAGAAATCTCACTCGAAATGCAAACGTGCTCAAGTAAGATTTGACTCAAGTGACTCGAAAACTCGAGTAGGACTCGAGTCACACAATTCTATTCGAATCGCATCACTAAGGTTTCACATACTATATTTACGGATATTGGTTATTTAGAGCAAGGTAGAATTTTTGGAAATCCCCATTCAAGTCAAGGTGAAGTGTAGTATAGTAGTTAATTGATTTAATTAGTATATTACCCATTTACATACTAATTGTGTTTAAATGCAAATATATTTTATTATCAAGCCATTTGGAGCTGATTTTGGAGATTTTATATTCTTGATAGCCTATTTGGTTCAAATATTAAAGGTATTTATTTAATAGAGCCTATATCTTAACCCTGCTTTCGTCGCTAGGCAATTTCACACACAAACGCTCACTACCAGGTAAAAAACACCCAATTATTAATAGCTCCTTATTTAAAACACCTGGTTTTTCCAAAATTTTTTATAATATTCTATTTGCTTGTACCATAAACTATAAATAAATAATAAAATTAATTTTGAAACATAATATTTATTTATTTATTTACATATATTACACCTACAATAAAGAGATGCATAATCACAACATTTTTCTTCATATTATTTAAAATCTAACAATTATCCAATTATTTTTTTATGTAAACATGTAAAATGAGAATAGATTACATTAAAAGACACTATACGCTAACAAACTAGCAAAAAAAATATATGTTTTTTTTTTTCAGTAAATGGAGATCAGACTATCAACTATCAGTTTTTGTGTTACGAATGAATTTTCCTTCACTTTCTGACAACAACTGTCACAAATAGATGTTATATGCTCTCGACATATTTTTTATGATATATTTCGCAATCTGTCTTTGTTTACCGATCATTCCTCCAATAAGAATCTTCACATCGAGACATGCTTGAATTTGGTCGGGACCATGAGGAACTTGGCATATTGTTTTCGTTACCTTTTTGTAAACCCAAAATAAATGTTATTTTAATCTTTATGGAATATGACAAATTAACAACTTGTAATCTATGGTGTATAAGAGGCATAACTAAAGATCTGGCCAATTCTTTAAACGTAAAAATGTAGGCATTGTGATACCTTTGTTGCAAATGACACTGTGTATGTTCCACAAAACTCATCTACGACATCGGCACCGCATTTGTTTCGATTATAATCAAGAATCATTTCTGCCTTCCTTTCTTCTCCAGTATCTATTTTACCATCATGGTGTATAGTCGAAGTAAACAACACGGCTTTCTTTTTCTTTGTCGTATATGGAACCAACTTTGCTCAGTATCGCTGTCATGGTTACTGTGCTTCTCATAATCCTCAGTTTCTGGTATAATTTCATCATCACTATCTTGTTGTTGCAAAATTTCTTCTATAGTACTATCTCAAAGCGGAAAATTCATGGTATAGAAGTGCTAAAACAAAAAAAATATTACCGAAAAGTTGTCACACAAACGGTCGCTACCGGGTAACTTTCACCCATACTTACTTTATACGTCTAAACCCGATTCGTTAACTGTCAGCCGCATGGTCAGCACATGTCTTGTTTCTTTATAAAAAGGTATCTAAAGTGGCAAGTCTCTAAATTGTATAGAAAAAAAGATGTTTATGTTATAATTACCTCTGTGGTATTTTTACCCGGCAGCAACGAACGGTTAATAATCTTTTATGTATCTAATCATATTATTGTTTGCTAACGAGTTCTGTATATTTAAGTATGTTTGCATAAGTGTTCATATAAAATACAGGTTGACATCTGTGTGAAAAGTTAACAGAGTGTTGAATTTGTTCAAGATGTTACTAATACTATATGTGTTATATTTTCTATACAATGTCAGTGCTGATTTAATGGAAGAAATCAATTCTCGACTTCCTGAGGATGGCAGACTGAATTTCACTGAACTCGCGACGAAATATGGATTGGAAACTGAAGAGTATGATGTAATAACAGAAGATAATTACATACTCAAATTATTTCATATCCAGGGAGATAGAACTAAACCTATACTATTGTGTCATGGTGCTGACAACTCTGCAGATACATATATTATGAGAGGTAACACATCGTTAGCTGTTACTTTGGCTAAAGAAGGATATGACCTTTGGTTTATGAATTCCAGAGATAAAAAATATAGTCAAAGGAATCTATATTTACATCCCAAAGATGCCGACTTTTGGAATTTTACTTTTCATGAAATAGGAATATACGATTTGTCTGCTAACATTGATTATGTATTGAACAAAACTAATCAAGGTCAGTTGACACTCATCGGGTTTTCCCAAGGTAATCAGATATGGTTTGTGTTGGGATCTATGAGACCTGAGTATAATTCTAAGGTGAAAGTTGCTATTGCATTAGCCCCAGTGGCTTATCTGAACCATGCTCGACTTCCAGATTTACTTACGTGGACACTAATAAATAATTTCCTTAAGGCGTCTGGAAATCATGTACTGTTTGGGGAAAATTCTATATTAACAGCAGCATCTCGAACTATTTGTCCCATCATGAAAGCTGGTGCAGAGTTTTGTATAAATTTCAACATTTTTCCAATATGTGGCGCAGATCCTCCTGGCCTGGAACCTGAATTTGTGCCAATCTTGATTGGACACACTCCGTCAAATCTCGTTAGGAAAGTTCTTGATCATATGGTGCAAGTTAAGACTAGTAAGAGATTTCAGTTATATGACTACGGAACTGTGACTAATATCGTCAAATATGGTTCAGCGCAACCCCCAGAATATCCAGTAAAGAAAATATCTGCCAAAGTAGAGCTCCTCGTAGGGCGCAATGATAAACAAGCAGTCGTTGATGATATTCAAATACTGAAACAACAGCTGCCTAACTCTTCATATCATGAAATCGACGTGGATCTATGGAATCATATTGATTTTGTTTGGGGGAAATACATGAAAGAATTTTTGTATCCGCTAGTGTTAGACTTATTAAAAAAGTACAATTAAAAATAAGTACGGGTAGTATCTACCTAATAAATTAATAATGTGATAGACATTGATGTGTGTGACAATGTCTTCAAACAGACAGTGAGCTTTGATAATTAATAAAGTACGCTAGAGTATTGTATTGTTACCCAGGTCTCGACACGTTACACGATTATTAAGAGAGAGAAGATCATGATACCACATCTGTCGAATTATAATATTACATATAATGAAAAGTATAATAACTTGAAATAACTTTTGATATTTAAATTGATATAATTTTATATTTCTAAAAACTCACTGTTTCTTTCTATACCTGGTCAAACTGATGGGTTACTGCAAACTTCTCTCGTCATCTTCCTTTTGACCAAGTAATAAATAAGAGCATTTTCGTAAACCGAGCAATTAGAAATAACGGCAAATAACTTATTCCAAAGCATATCGATCGAATAAACTATATCCTCATCAAAGCGATATACCTACTTCTTTTAGTATCTAAATGGATATATTTCATACATATTTATTTCGATTTCGATGATTTTGATCTTCGTGAGGATTTGATGAATAACTTCTTGGTAAACTTTACGAATTATTTAGTTGCTTATTTCGCCGCTTAGTGTTCTAAAATAAACTTATTTATCTTTGAAATAATAATCAAGTAAGAAATCACACTCCAAAAATTCGAATAATAACTAATGAATATAATTTTTATTAAAGACTTTTTCAAAGCATCCTCGCCCAAATTTAAGTTAACAATTTTATATATATATATATATATGTTTTTTGTAGTTTTTGAGAATTATTATTTGATCGTAAGGGATGGATAATCACAAAACGGTTTTGTTTGCGGTTCACTTTTGTTTAAAATTTAAAGAGGGCTACCTCTAAATGACAATGTCAACAATTCTATCGCTAAAGTAGTACATTGGTTTAATGTTAATAATTTTCTCCTTATTGAAGGAAAAATAAAATGCCTAAAATTTGTACTACCTAATGTTAAAAAAGTAGATATAAATGTAAATATAAAAGATAAGAACATTGGCCTTATAGATACCACAGTACTTTTAGGAATAACATTTTAGATAAGATAAGATAAGATCTTAATTTGCCAGAATACAAGTCATTGAGGTCACAAATAATCAGACAAAAACAGTATTCTGCCTGCGGACAGGCGTGCAAATATTGATATTATATTATTGAAATTATTACATTTCTTATTATTATATTTAAAATATTATACAACTCATTACATTACAAATTATTATCATATATTATCTATAGGATTTTTTTTAAAGCTAAAAAGTCTTTAACGCTATAAAAGCAATGTTCTAGAAGTCACTTTGTCAGATTTAATTTAAATTTATTCAAATTTAATAGTTTCATGTCATCTGGCAACTTATTATATAAAATTATGCCCATATTGTAAACATTTATTTTATAGATGTTTTTAAGACAAGGAGGCTGATACAACAGGTTTCTATATTTTCGTCTAGTTTGTCTCGGAATAATGTCCACACGTTTACTCCAATAATTGGAATGAGAGTGGACAAACACACAGATATCTTTTATGTACATACAAGGTAGAGGCAAAATATACATTACATTCTAACGAACTTAATGTACGTTCGTAAAAATATTAGTTTGTTTTCTATAAAAAGTGATGTACACAATTTTAATACAAGAAATAAAAATAAATTAACGGTGCATGTCACCAGACTGCAAAAAGTTAGTGACTCAGTCAGGGGTCTTTGTGTGCGCTTCTACATTAAGAGCCATATTACATCGCAACTGTGATTTCTGCGTGATTTTTCTCGGAAACAAAAACAAATTAACAATTTTGACTTGTTGAATAGTGAAGAATAACTCTTGGTATAGAAATTAGTGGCTCAACTTTTTGGAAATTTTGCTCATCTTTTTAATTAAATCCAAAATACCAGAGAAAGTTTTTCATAAAATGCGCAAAGACACTTTTTTGAAGTCCTGGATTGAGCTACTGTTCTTAACAAACGAAATAAAAGAAATAGAATAATATCTCTTATATAGTCGTAAAGTAAACAGTAGCTCGAAATTTTGAAATAGCACTGATTAAATATAGAAAAACAATTATATTACAAACCAAAAAACATCAAAAATTGCTTGAAGTTAACTTTGAATTTCTCTTAGCCACAACAATATTATTTAACAAAATTTATGCCAGATTAATGACTATTTCATAAGGAACAAAGTTATTATAATTTTAAAGCATAAATTTGTTATATTATTTCAATAAATACGATAAATGTAAACGCAAAATCACTACAAAATAAGATGCAGCGGCCGTCTGAGCTCAGTACCGCGCGAGCGCTCCTCAACGTTAGACCTGTGTCGCATTTCTTCGCGCCATTTTTCGATCTAGATACATTCGAGCGAGCGTAAATAGAGCAGTATAGTGGGACTTCCAACTTTGGTCACGAAGTTCGATATTTATATTATGAAATGCAAATAAAGCAAGGTACTTCTTCTCTCAATACACTTATACTAGTACATAAAATTGGAGTGCCGTCTGAGCTCAGTACCGCGCGAGCGCTCCTCAACGTTAGACCTGTGTCGCATTTCTTCGCGCCATTTTTCGATCTAGATACATTCGAGCGAGCGTAAATAGAGCAGTATAGTGGGACTTCCAACTTTGGTCACGAAGTTCGATATTTATATTATGAAATGCAAATAAAGCAAGGTACTTCTTCTCTCAATACACTTATACTAGTACATAAAATTGGAGTGCATATTTGTAATATTAAAATAACCGCTTTTCACTAAATACATTTGTGTGTATACATGGTACATATACAAAAATAATATATTTTATCTGTCTGTCTGTTAGTTCTGGCTAATCTCTGAAACGGCTTGGCCGATTTTGAAGAGACTTTCACTAGAAGTTGACTTACGTAATGAGGATTAACTTAGACTTATGGCTCGATGCAATTCGACTGATATCAAATTTATCGGAGATCCGCATATGAAACAACTTTTTCTAAATTCAATATATTTTTAATCTCGGACGCAAAAACGACGCGGTGTTATAAGTTTGACATGTCTCTGTGTGTGTGGTGTGTTTGTGTCTTTTTGTAGCATTATAGTTCCCGAACGGATGGACCCATTTTGATTTTGTTTAAAAGGTGTATTAGTCGGGAGTGTTCTTCACTTTGATGAAAATCGATACAAGATGGCCGCCGCCACAAAATGTCGGATCACATATTTTATCACCATTCCATCAATATGGGTATCAAATAAGAGGGCTTGAGTAGTAGAATACTGAACACTATGACAAATTTCAAATCCAAGATGGCCGCCACCAAAAATGTTGGATTACCTACATATTTTTCACGACTCCCTCAATACGGACATTAAATAAAAGGGCTTGAGTAGTAGAATACTGTTTACTATGACAAAATTTTATATACAAGATGGCCGCCGCCACAAAATGTTGGATTATCTATTTATTTATTTATTTATTTTGTACACACATACAATTTCATATGAACAAATGTAACAGACATTAGTACAAGGGCACTGCTTATTTCAAATTGAAATTTCTACCAGCAGGCCCAAAACAGGAAAATGAAATACAATAAGGTAGTCAGTGTGTACCTCCTAAATAAATTAATATGGAATAAAAAAAAACAAATTCAAATACCGGGAAAGAGAGAAAATAAAAATACATAACGGTTCAAACATTATATAAATAATAATATATATATATATATATCTATAATATATAAAGATTAATAATACCTACACTATCCAATATCAACAACAGGAAAGATAATGATCCTTTACTCTTTTTTTGAACACAGAAATAGTGCGACTGTCACGTATATCGGCAGGCAAAGAGTTCCAGAGTCTAGCAGCATGAACAGTGAAGGAATATGAAGCAAAATCCGTTTTGTGTGAAGGAGTTTGAAGACTTAAGGTGGGATCTGCAAAGAGCATCAGGAGAACGGAGAAAGGAGAAACGCTCACGCAGATAGGAAGGATAGACGGGATTATACAGGATGTTGAACAGAAGACAGACAATCCTGACATATCTACGCTGACGAATGGGAAGCCACATGAGCTGCTTACGTAAATGTGACACATGATCATACTTACGAAGATCATAAATAAATCTAATCGCTAGATTTTGAAGTCGTTCAAGTTTGTTTAATAACTCCTCAGTGGCATCCAAGTAACATGCATCTGCATAGTCAAGAAGAGGTATAATTAAGGATTGTGCTAGTAACACTTTAGTTTTAAAAGGTAAAAAGTTTTGAAGGCATTTAAGTGTGTGAAATGAGAAGAAGGTTCTACGACTAACCTCAGATACATGGGCAGTCCATGATAGATTTGAATCCATTGTAATTCCAAGATTTTTTACAGTGTCTGTTAACTCGATCTGAGTCCCATCCAAAAGCAGGGGTGGTAAAGATAATGCAGAAATAGAATTAATATTAAACCTGCTACCTATCACAATGGCCTGAGATTTACTCGGGTTAAGCATGAGGCCAAACGATTTTGCCCAAGTACTAATGCGATCCAAATCGTTATTAATAGCTACCAGTGCCGAGTTACAGTCTTCTATTTTAAAGTGTCGATAAAGCAGCAAGTCGTCTGCATAGAGGTGGAAGTTGGAAGATATAACTTTAGTAACCGAGTTAATGAAAATAGAAAATAAGAGAGGTGAGAGAACAGCACCCTGAGGAACACCCGCACCGAGGTCGCACCAATCAGAAGATTTATTACCAAGACGCACACGTTGCGTGCGTCCCCGAAGGTAGGAATCAAACCATGAGAGAACAGAAGGAGAGATATTGCAAGAACGAAGAATAGCGAGAAGAATGTCAAAATCGACAGAATTAAAAGCACTGCTGAAGTCTAGAAGAATTAGAACTGTAAGAGCTTTATTCTCCATAGCCCAACGAATATCATCAGTAATGTTTATTAAAGCTGTTACAGTACTGTGACCAGGGCGGAAACCAGATTGGTACCTATTCAAAAGGGAATTA